AACAATAACAAAGAAATACATGGATTTTATTTTGTTAACATGCAGAGATCTGATAAAAATCGAGCGGTATCTTTTTCCTTTGCTCTTGCAACAAATATTGGTATTCGTATAACACATTGGCTGCAAACGTAAAAAATAATAATAATCATAAATAAATTTAATATTACTTTTATTATATATAATCTGTTGTATTATTTAACCCTTTTATTCTCTTTCCTGCAATTTTCTTCAGATTTATTTTTTTTTTCTCACTAGGGCTTAATGATACCTTATATTTCATCAAAGTGTATACGCTACTGAGGACTTTTACGGATAGCTTACTGCGCATGCACTGGGACTACCCAACACTGCATTAGTGTTCCCGCGTCGAAGTAACACTAAACGGGTGCGTAAATTCATGTTCACAGTATTTTTTTTTACTATTTTACAGGAAGTAAAGGAGTTAGTATAATAAAAAGAAATAAAGTTAAATAATTAACTCTTTTTATTATAATCTGATATTTTATAGATACATATATATATGTATTTTTTTAAAACGTTTATTTATAATTATTAAACTTCTCATGAGTACTTACAACCGCATTATTACACTGATATCAATGATAATCTATAAATCACAATTACTACATTATAATTTGTTCGCAATATGCATTTATCACTAGTATCTCTTGTACCTTGAATGTACAATAAATGCTATCTCTTCCTAAATACAAACTGGTACACTTTTAAAAATACTTTATAATATTTATTGTAAAACTATATTCTGCAAAACATGATGTAATTGTACTTGTGCATTTGAAGATAACATAGAAATGTTCACTAACTAAAAACTCTTCAATAAAATAAGTTTTTAATGAGGTTAAGAAAAGTACTAATAAATTGTTCAGTTTAGTTTTATCATTTGAAATATCCTTTCAGTTTTTAAATTTTATCAACTATTAAAGAGGTGTCAAAGTTATTCCTATTTTTATTCTCAAAAAAATATCTGTAGTAAATCTTTTAAAATAAACATGTTACATAAAAATATTTTCCAGTATAAAAATATATAAAATTTAAAGATGTATGTTTGGTAGTTTGCGAATAAAAGAAATATTTCAAATGATAAAGCTCAATGAACATATCCTATAATTTATACAAGGTTCTATTGCTAACGATACAATTATAAAATTAGTTAGGAACATAATGATGTTTATTCGTATAGCACCTTGAACAGTTGAGATTAATATAAAACCACAGTTGTGTCTATGAAATTCTCAACTATTATGTCTTTCCGAAGAAGCATTCTAAAAATATTTATAAGAAAAATAGCATGTTCTATTTTGTCAGATCAATTTGCATGATATTTACACTGGTAAGTGAACATTTAATTCATAATTATTGTAATTAAACTATTCAGTTTCTGTAACCAGCAGATACTTTTCTATAAACAAAATAAATATCAAAATGTAATACCAATACTTCCAAACTTGTACTTTGCTATAGTTGATTTCTTCAACAAATGAGATAAGGCAAAAAGCACTATTTCTTAATGTGAAAGGAACTTTAGAACTTTCCTTTTTTTTGGTTATGTAAATGAGGTATGTTTCAAATTTGTTGAGTCACGAGAAATATTTATAATTTGTTCAACATATTTCAACATCAAACTACTCATAGTACAGTGCTACTTTAAATCTTTTGGTTTGTCACGAATCTTACAAATAACAATTCTTTCCCTTGACTCAAATTCGTTCTAAATTACACCTTACCACAATATTAACACTGAATGTGCATCATCTACAAAAATACTGTCGTATTAATACATACAAGCATCACATTAAAAACAATACACGGATACGATAAGTACAATATTGAACAATTCAAAGGAGGAATGTTATTAATGCATCTTACTTTTAATGTCATTCGAAAATTTCTCTTAATATTTTTTATCTACTACAACAGGACTGACCATGTTATTCAACATTAAATCAAAGTTAAACGACTAAATGTAGATATATAATATTTGTGCTTTCAACATATTTTTAAGTATTTTAACTATTTACAGTAACAAAAAGAAATTGTACATATGTAATACATGTTATTCCTTTGCAATACATCAATCAAAGAAGTTATAAATTAAGAAACGTTCCACATTTTCAACAAAGCTATGTACGAAGTTTTGCCTATTTTAATCAATCTAATGAAATAAAATCCACAGATTAATCAAACTAATTTCCTAAACAAATTTCATGAGTCCTTCAACATTGAAGGTGTAACATTCTCAGGGATTATGATTCTTCTTTTTGCTCTTCCTGTACATTAAAACCTATTGTTACATTGGAACTATCTGCTATGTTACTTGCCACTGTTAAAATTGGCTGTTCTAATTTCTTTTCTGCAGAAAAAGTTTTCGATTCCATCATGTTATGCTTCCAATTTTCCAAATCTTGATCCGACATGTTTGATAGCGAGCTTAATTTTGTTGTGCATTTGTAGCTATAATTCATTTCAGGTTTTGATGCGGCCATTTTTGGCATAGAAACGCTTTGCGATCGACAGAAGTTCTTCCTTTTATAACTTGATGAATGAAGTTTTTTTTGCTCTATCTCCGTTGCATTATCTCTACTCTTATGCCCCTTTTCTACATTCGTAGATTCAGTTTTTGCAGATACAAATGATTTAGTTTTATCTGTATTGTCAGTTTCTTTGATTCTAACGTCTTCATCAGCTATTTCCATACTTTCAACAAGAAACCTAGAAGAAACAATTTCATTTAGTTTCACAGTTTCTTCAAAATTTACCTTTCAACGTACCTTCCAATTTTCTTGTAGCCACCGCTGGATTTTACAGTGTTATCTTTCTGTTCAAAAATTTGTTTCACATCTTGTTTCTTCTGCTCTTCAGTTTGTTTCAAGGTTATTGTATGATCCTCATCATCGTCGATATTGTCAATAGGAAGGTCGTCAGTGTGCATAATTTTTTGTAAATTACTATTAAAGCCGGCACCAAATCCACATTTTCGAATTTGACCATCTTCATTACTATAATAATCTGTATACGATACACTACCGCGGCTCTCTCTATGATCTTGATCAATATTTATACAAAATTCGTTGAAATCAACATCCAAACACGGCGTTGTAGGAAATTTGGGGCCAGTGTTAAATGACTGAACTCTATAACACACAATAGAAAAATAATAAAGTCTCTGTGTGATTTCTGTTTTATTTAATTTTCAGTGCATTACTTACCCTTCGTTGCTAATTAAACTTATGGACATACTACACTCTCCGGTTGAAGTTGGCGCAGGCGATGACGGTTCAGATGATAGAAACGACTGTGGTTCGCTACTCCATCCGGTACCTAAAATATGTGCACATTTACATTAAATAAATGAAAGGTAAAGATTTAATTTTAAAATTATATTACTTACTATTGGGACTGGTTGGCGACAACTGATTTCTTATATCACAAGATTCTCCTTCATTTGACTGTTTATACTGTATAGGTGTTGGTGTGATATACCTAAGAGGCAATCACTTCATCTTTATTTAAAGATACACAGTGAGAATTGAAACTAACAAGAAATAAGGTATCTAAGAACCACTTGAAGCTTCGGAGGATACACAGGTATTGATTAATTGTAATGATCAATAAAAAAATGAAAATAAAAAAGAACTTAATACTCACAACGTCGGCTTATTTAATTTCTTACGGTACCTGACAGCTTCCAGGTCGGAAGAGTGGTACTCGCGATTGATTCCTCCGATACCGAGATTTTGATTAACAGACTCGTGCGTTGATCCACCAGGAGAAGGATATTTTGGGGGCGAAGAAGCTGGCGTTCTAAACAGGGGTGCGCTAGTCATCATCTCCAAAAAGGAATCCAACTGACGCAGTGATAATGCATTGTGAAGCGTTTCCAAAGGCCTTATTGGTGGTACACCGCCAAAACCTTCTATTGCTATAGAACATAAGATAAAATTAAATCAATTAATAACACTGAATTCTGAATTGTAAAAGGTATTTAAATTACAGGACTCACCAGCCACAGCTGACGCATGAGGAGGCACCATGTCCTTCAGATTTGGAGCACTCGAAGAGCCACTGATCACTGCAGTGCTGAACAGACTGTTTGCTGATCCTGTCAGCTTCTTGTTGACGTTGTAGCCCAACAGCTTGAAATAACTCATCTGTCCGGAGATACTGTGACGGTGGCGCCTTGCTGTGCAGGTAGGGTCAGGTTGAATGATCGAAGGTCGTGTGTCTGGAGATGAGAAGGATCGTTGAGGCTGGAGGCGGGAGAACGGTGCACGTGGACACTTGGGACGATGGTTATATTTGCGAGGAGTATCGTGATCGTCGTGAACATCATTATCGTGCACAGAGGTTGTATGACAAAACGTACTAGAATGATTTGATGTATCTATCAGGCTATTGTACCACTGTATATTCACATTGGGACAAGACAACCAACGTTTGTTTACTCGTGAATTAACAGCAGGAAAGATATCACCCATTGTACTCAAAGTGGGACAAGACAATGTTCTGTTTGGCCTATACACATTCTCGGTAACACTGCCACTACTGAATGTAGATCTGATGCTCCTGTCGAACCTCCACTTCTCTTTTCCCTTAGACACCGTAGATCCATTACAAGCACAATTTGTCAACTGACTCTTGCATATGGAACACTGAGCAAACACTGGTTTGGAACAACAGCTAAGACTCTGTTTATCAAAATGCACAGAAGATCTCCCTTTACGATACATAGGAGAGGGATCAAGATCTAAGTCAGGAATCTCCTTAAAATTTCCATTGCTATCATTCAAAGAAACACTGTAAGAGGAATCGCTGGATTCATTCTCCTGTAAACTATAATAACAGGAACAATTGAAGAACTTATGGGAAAGCGAACGGACAAAGTAAGTGTCAAAGTTGGAACGTTCCACAGGTGGTAGATCTTTGCTTTTCAATATCAGTTCCGAAACATTACAGTTATAACAAAGACATTTGGTTAAGTAAGGAGATAATGAGCGGGACCGTTTCTCTGATTCCAGCTGTCTCCTAGGCCCTGTCTGTGAGGTTCTTTCGTGCAAGGATAACATCAAGGAAGAAGATTTTAACCGTAGATTATTTCGTAATAATCTCATAGGGTCGCTCAACTCACCACAGGACTCGATGCCAGGAAGTATCATCTCTGAATGGGAACGTCCGTATTTCTTACTCTGTAAACATAGCTGAGAATCGTCAGCGGACTCTTCAAAATTGGTACGGAAAAATATAGAAGGTCGAATCACAGGGACCGGAAGTACGATATCCGTAACATCCGATGTTCTGTTGGTGGGCGAAGCTAGCGGGGTGTTATGCAAAGTCACCAACGGTGTCGAACTCGAAGTGGAGGTTTCGATTGAAGGAACGGGCAGCTCGGGTGAACTGAAGGAGTGCGGCAAAGCCATTGACTTTCCCGTAGGCACGTGCAGCAAAGCCTGACTATACTTCTTTGTCTGGTACTCGGCCACATGCTTTTCTGTGATACATGGTGGTTACATGCACATTTCATGTACATTAACGAGAGAACGATGTGGTTAAAATGAACGAATATGGCAAATGTAATCAACAGGGGACGGGGGTACAGAGGAGGGAAAGAAAAGAAAAGAAATAGACGATTAAATAAACCCGTCACCGAAGAAATCAAAATAATCATTGGTAAGAAGCTTTGGTCACGTCGTCAAATTTTGAGAAATTCAGGTATTATTCGTTAGAAAGCAGCAAGTCATCATCCACCTTATAAAGAGGACCTTGAAATTTAGAATGGCATTTTAGAAAATGGATTGTTCCTAAAAAAATTGGATATATTAATACTGGAATGAATCAAAGACGACGTTTCAAAGAAAAGATTCATTACCAATGGAGGAATAAATTAACTGAAATATATAGAAAACTGATTACATTTAGAAGACACAAATTTAGTAATGTTACACAACCATGGCACACGATAGCCATGCAACCAGTAAGCCAACCAGACAAACATTATTGTGAATTCGTAAACACTCTATAAACACTTATTAATGCTTATGATCTTAAACAATAATGTCAATCGATAATCTTAAAAATTTGTTCCATTTGCTTCCTCACTTTGTAAACTAGATATATTTGTGACTACCACTGTAAAATGATGTATTAGATTAAAATATAGAGATTTGTTTGCACTTAATTTCAGTAACAATAAACCAATAAAGTGACATCTTTATGAGATGATAAAATAAACATTATCAAGTAAAAAAAATAACTTTGTTTAGAAAAAACTGATACAGTAACTACACAATTAAAGAAATGATGAGTTTGACAAATGAACAAAAAAAATGTGAACCCGTGAATAATATAAAATGAAATATTTTATGCGATGAACTTCACATACTAACAACAAGTACGTATGAAAAAAAGCTGATGTGATCATAAAATATAACTAAGCGTTTACTGTGATCTTAATGGAACAGTGAATTTAGGAATAAAGGAACAAGGATACACGGCTGAGTGAATTACACTACATTTTAAATGCTACCGTGTAATCCAAACAGTCGCCAGTATATATTAGTTGGCTTCCACGCGCACAACTATCGCTGAGCAAAGAGTTATTTCAACTGAGTTCTCCTATCTCGATGCAAGTTTGCATCTATTCTTTAATTACTAAGTTTTCATTTGTATGGTACATTTTAATTAGATGATCTATTCGTTGAACTATCAAAATTCACAATCTAATTTCAACAATGTAACATTTGAAACAAAAAGAATTATTTTTTTTAAACACTATGTTACATATAAAACTCAACATAATACAAAGGAAGATGATATTTGTAATATCAATAAAATAGTACAACAACGAGGATAAGGTGTGATGCTTAAGAACATCTACGAAGATTTTGTGTATACATTTACTAGGAACAAGAGTACTATGAGAAAATGCTTTCTTAAAAAAATGTTGCGTTACTAATAAAGACAGGAGGATGCTACATTCTTTGTGAAAGAAGTAAAAACTGCAAATTATAGCAATCTACAACTAAAAATCATTGTCGCAAAAGCGAAGAATAATGTTTGAGAATCTAAATAATTTGTGTGAAATCCTTTTTTTTATCATAAGACTGATATAAAAAACGCTGAAACTTTATGAAAATCCTGCGACGATCATCGACTAAAATAAGACAATGCATTATGACCTGTTAAACTGTAACAGGAACTCGGAATGACATACCTTCTTTGTTGACCGCGTCCAAGCTCTGATACTGCAGCTTGTCCGCAGCTATAAAAAGACACGAAAAACACCAGGCTTTCTGATGTATTCTGTTATCCTTAATCATAGATTCCCAAAAAATCAAAATGGTGAATGAAACTATTTGATTGTTTTTCCTTTCAGTAGTTAAATTAGTATAGCCGTACTCAACAAGAGTACTTAAGTGGTCTTATTAAGAAATTAAATGCTTAAAAATATCAATATCATGCATAATCAAATACATTAGCTTCTATTCGTTATTGCAAATATAAAATATACATTACCCTTTGAATAAAAAAAACGATAGGAAAGTAGATCAAATTACCCTTCTCTGACTTGTCTTGTCTTTGATGATCATAACTACGGGCACGTGGTTCAACAATCGAACTTCTTTCTGCATCTCGTCGTTGACGTTGACTAGCAGCTAACTGACTACCAAGTCTTGCGGCTTCATGGCCAGCTACAGTTCTAGCACTACAATGAAATAGTGGTTAAAGTTCCTACTAATTAATCTGATCAGATTTTATAATACTGATCAAATACCATATTGGAATTGGGGCAGAACTTTGCAAGAAACCACTGTCAAATGGTTCGTCCATCATGTTAGGATCTAGATCCATCATATCAACAGCTCTGCTAGTTGTTGGACTATCCATCATTGAATCTACAGCATCAGTTTCCATCAATGGTGGTGTTGCATCCTAAAAGGAATAAGATACGTGTATACGTGTACATATGAAATGGCAATAAATATTATGAATGTTATATACAGATTGTAATGGTGGATGTATAAAATCATCTTCCAAAATTCCTAATTCTATATCTTCTTCTTCTATTCGAGCACTGCATTGTGAAATAGTGTCTTGAGCAGATCCACCACTTTCACCCTAAAATTGTAACTTGTGTATACTTTCATATCTTTCAATACTTTTAATAATTGTAAATAAATCTTTACTTACGACATTATGACTACTTTCGTTGCGAGAATGAGGTCTGAAACCTGGCCCTGGTGGTAGATTCTTTTGCACACAACAATTTACACCAGGACTGAAATGTAGTTCGACGTGGAAACGTTCTTCGCTACTGGGATCTTTAGTTGGATCTTCATATAACATCACTACAATTTGGGACATATAATTTAATTCAGAAACCATGCTAACGTACTCCATAGCTCGACGCCATTGTTCATCTTTCACCACCTATCAATATATTTTTTCAATGTTATATGTAGATAAAGAAACAAAAATAAATAAATAATTATTTACGTACGTCGAGTAATCCACCATAACGTAAGACGGTTAATAAAGAATGTACGTGACTTTCACTTGTAAAATAAAGCCTTGTACGAACATGCCGACCGGGGCTCGAAACACCATGAGAGTACCTGAAGTCCGATTTAACAAAATATGTATAAATACTTTACCTAAAAATATATCTTAACTTTAATACAAGATTTATATCACCTTGGATTCAATCTGTTAACTGTTTCTTCCCCAGACTCTTCAATATTTCTTTGCAAATCAGCTCTTATTTTTTTAAGAAGAGGTGTGCAAATACCTTGACCTATTGTTAACTTCTCTTGCACTGTTAATCCATATTCCTACAATATTAAATTTAATATAAATAAAAATATATAAAATATTAATATAAACATGAATAATGAAAATATTAACCTGTGGTATAACGATATCTGCTAGGTATTTAGAATAAATGTAGAGTTCTTCTGCATGTTCAAATTGCAAGGTATGGTTGTTATGTTGCAAATCATATTTTATACAATCATAAATATCTGGGATCTTTGATATATCGAATCTTTTGTTTTTAGTACAGAAATCCTTTTCAATTTTCCCCCATCGACGTCCCATTAACTCCCACGTTTCACCGTGATAAAGAATTGCATCTAAATTTATTTTTTTAATAAATATAATCTTGATATAAAATACATTTAAACAATTTATGTTTACCTTTAGTTTTAGGATCATCTTTTTTAATACGCACAATATCCATCAACTTTTGAATTAAAGTATGAACATGTTGACAACATCGTACAGGGTTCTTAACAAAATCCATTGCAGCATTAATACTAAGAGCATTTCCGGGATTTATTTGTTCTCTATCTTCACGTGTAAATTCTCTATCCTGTTGTAATAACTCGTGTAGTCGTGTTTTTACCCTAAAATAGAATACTGTCATTTATTGTAAATTCAATAATAATACCTGCATCAAACTGTTTACGAACATGTTCTGATATTTGCTACTATCACAGTCGTTATCCAATAAACCATTGGTATTCGCACTCTTCACCATCTGTACTAAAATAGGGGTTAATTCACCCTCCAATGCAAGTAATCCTTTAGCAAATGCTGCTGCTGTCATCTGAACTCTTCCTTCATCACTTGCATAAATTTTCAGGTCGTGACGAAACGTTGAGTGAAGACGAAGTAATCCTAAACCTTGAGCGCCAGCATAATCACCTAGATATAAAGAATAAAAGCATATCAAAAAACTAGATCATTGTAATAGTAACGCAATATATATTTATTATAAACAAACAGATAGTATAAATATGATTCATTCGATGACCTATGTTTTGGTAAAAATATCGGTATTAATTTACGTATGTAAAGATAGATCTAATTAGTTGTATATGTGGTCTTTTTGGTAATGTGTTAGAATATATTGATGTGGAATTTTAATTACGAATATAGTGTTTCTTATTGACACCATAAAAATCATTTACTGCTGAATTCAATAAAATAAGAAAATACCTGAGGCTGTGTGTAGAAAACTGAAATACACATTATAAATTTGCACTGCGTGTGTATATGTATGTGTGTAACGCAGGTGATATTGAATGATTGAATGTAACTAATAAACCTATTAAAAGAAAGATAAACACTGAAGACTACGAAATGTGTAAAAGCATCTAGCTTTCAACTGAAGCATTTGATAAAATCGAGTAAACATTGAACTAGCATAGAAACAGCATTTTACTATAAATGTTTTATGCTTGATAGTTTCAAGGTGCAGGTTTTATCTGCTCAATCTACGAACAGTAATACCTTCATAACAAAAGAACTTATTACTCGCCTTATTGCTTTGAAGTTACTATTTCTATGCATCGTAACACAATCTACAGACAACTACAAATAAGCATTGATTCAGAATAAAAAGTTACCGTGGTTTGGTAACATCTCTGAGTCTTCCTCTGAAATAATATTTGAAATTATCTATGAATCAAACATTTTCATGAAAAGGTAAGATATTTATCCATGTTTGTTCAGATGTTAGTATTCAGCAAATTAACAAACTTATTAATTTAAAGGCCTAGTACTTACACATAAATTTTAACTGATAAATTATTATGTGTAGATATGCATAAATATATATTCTATATATATATATACTCTGTAAAATATTAGCAATAATTTATTACACGTACGTTCAACTGATCGGGTAATTCAGATAAATTACATATCCAGCCGACGTTCAGCCAACATATGAAAGGTATTAAAAAGTATAAACTTAAGAATGAGCGTGAGAAGCGTATGAATGTAAGATACGAACCACTAAGGTGTCTACCTTGACCTCCAGGATACATGCAGCGAAATATTCTTCCTAATTCTTCAGCTTGAATACGACCAGCTGGTGTTAATTCTCCACCCCATTTCAAAATTAAAACAAGCGATGGTTCTCCAAGTCGATCTATCAAAATAACAAAAATTAAATATTATTTTAATACTGTTAACAGTACTTAAATGTTTTTCATACCATCGTCCGATGAACTCCCTCTCGGCCGTCCTCTTGGTTGATATTTCATTTGTACTTTACGATTTATTCCCGAAAAGTGGCCATACCTATTAAAAAATGTATCTAAACCTAATTCTGCGAAGAAAATTACATGCTGAAAACACAATGCTTACATTTCTAACACACTTTTTAATTGTTCCAATTTCCCTTGCTTTTCTTCTAATTCAGGTCCTGCAGCTCGATGTTGTATTTCTGCTAACAGACTGCGTGCAGTGTCCAATATTTCTTGTAATTGTTTAGGTCGCTTCAATTTAATATGACCATGTTTATAGCCGTCATACTTTGCAAATATTTCGAAAAACCTATTTAAAATGAAAAGTAATAACTAAGGGCTGTTAACAATTTCCATTTAAACTTAAAAAATATACTTACTTGGGATGACGAACTTCTACTTTCATTTTTTGTTTTGGTGTTCTATCACCGTGCCTTATAACAGCAACAACACAACGTAGTTCCATCCTATAATGCGTTCAAAAAATAAGATAAAAACTATAGTATTTAATTATAAATAAAAAGTACAATAGAATCATAATAGCCTACATTTTTCCAAACGTGGTAGGCACGATAGGTGGGTCATCTAATTGAAATGGAACGCTCCATGGTATGTGTAAAGTAGGTGCCAATTCTCTCAAAATCATGTTGCCCAAAATTTTTGCACAATCGTCATAATATTTATTTGAATTCTTTACAAAACTAAATCCATTAACATCACATACAAATGACTGACCATTTGCCCTAAAAAAATATACGCATCAATAATATTATTTATCTACTTTACCAATAGTAATATAACTCTATATACCTGAGTAAATCGAAACCGCAAACTGTTTGTTTAAAAGCCAAACACACTTTCCTACTGATCAGTTTTTCGGCGTTACTTAATATAACCGGATAACGAATTTCTTTCCCCTCTGAATCTCTTTCCACTTTCCCATCCAATGCTGGGCTTTTTCGAGCTTCAGCATGAGCATAATCTGGACCAACGGTATATACCTTGACATCTGTGCCATCGGTTGGCATAAAATCCTCATAAATATAAGAACCTGTTTTACGGACTCGAGATTCGGGTGAATATACACTGCTACGACTTCCAATCTACGGTCGAAAATAATCATTTATACGTAATCTGTTATCATAACCAAAATAATTCATCCTCATTTGATTGCTGACCTTTCTAAATAATCTCTGGCTACCTCCTCCAGCAGATGTAGGATAATAAATGTAAATGTTGTGATCTTCAGCAGATACTGGCTTTTCCACAAATGGTTTGTTAAATGTAACACCATTAACTTCAACATGATCTTCTGATTCCACCAATTCATGATCTAAAAACAATTTTTTGTGTAATTTTTATAAAATAATGGTAAAAAAATAGAAGAAAACTGATTTATTTAATGACATACGTTTAGGATCAGATGAATCTCTATCTAAGACAGCATATCTTGGAATTTCAATGCCTTCACTCTCTAAGATAGCATAGACTCTTCTACGGTCCTATAAAATATATAATCTATATAATATCCTCTAGTATACATAATGTTTCATAATATTTACCTTATATGGCTTACCTGAATATCATACTGCATTGGTAAATTATTGATAATGAAAGGATTTCTTAGATTAGCATAACTTATAGCTTTATCAAGAGGAAAACCTTTACTATGGAAGCTTATTAAACAATCAACAATTGGCCAATCTTCTACTGATTCCTATAAATAAATTATCATTAAATAATAAATCAATGGTCCACCTGGCTTTTATTATTTTACCTTTAAAATGACTTCTTCAGGAAATACTATTATTTTAATGTACTCGAATTCTTCTAATCTTGTTAAAATTTCCTTCATGGGTTTACTTTGAGACTTTTTTGCCATCGCACAGACTCCAACCAGAACTTGCTTCCCTTCCCCCTCCAAATCACTCCCAACCATGCATCCATCATCATTGCTGCACCCGTCCGACAGTTCGGCCTAAATGAAAAGGACAATTAGTAAAATGTTATTAATTCTACACCCATATATAATTATATAAACAACCATTTAAAAGTATGTAATAGAACTAAATGAAGATAATTAAAAATGAGTTGTTAATATGATTTAAAATATTTAAATATTATTGATTACATAATTATACTGAAAGAAGATAATGCAGCGAAACATATTCCTAATACAAATTGCAGTATTTAATACTAGATTTTAAACAATTAATATAAAATAATTAAAAATTACTTGGATAAAACTACCATAATTTGCCAGTATGGTTCTGCTTCATTATCACAATCACAGATATAAACATCTGGAATAGTTGTAGATGATGAAGGATCCGTAATTTCCATTATAAATTTACATTTAACATTTATTGTTAATAAATTTTATCACACTTTGAAATTTATATAAAATTTGTGCACATATACAGGAACATATAAATGCATCTAATAAAAGCTTTATACCAATTTATTTTTAGACCACTAAATATCAAGGCAGTATTTTTTCATGAGTCATCAGATCATTTTAAGATAGTTAATTAGATCTTATAAATTAAAGATTACTAAAAATATTATTATGCGTATTAATAATGAAAAATACATCTTTTTACAAGATGATTATCAGATATAATTTCATCCAAAACTTGCACTTCAAATAGCATAAATGTAAACATATAAATGTAATTATATATATATAATGCAAGTTAAATACGTGTAATTAATGCCTGTTTTAAGTTTATAGGTAATTAGTTATACAAAAATTTATATGGATTAAAAATATTTTATAGCTAATAATTTTAATTTTACAGTATTATAGATGACATACAAATTACAAGAAGCTGCATATTGTAAATAAACTAATTTTCTAACCTTTGTTGCAACATGGACAACAATTTCTGCACAATCATGAATATTGATGAAATATAGAACATACAATTGTAATTTTTCTTATTGTAAAAGGTTGAATTAATTTTGGAAAATAAACAAAAATTTTTTTCACATGCAATAAATTAAACTTACTCTTTTTGATGAACGATATATAGAAGAAGCAACAGGACCCACAAGGGTTGGTTGTACAGTATTTATATCCCCTACATAGAAAATTGGGCGACTGGCACTCCGTAGACCCTGCCAAGTATGATTTATTTCTAATTAAACAAGATCATATAATGACTGATATAACATTTATCATTGAAGATTGATCACAAAGATTACTGACCATGCTTTTGTTACAATTATTGTAATATTATCTAAACTAAATCACAAGTTATTGAACGTTAATTACTATCTCTCTCTTTAATACTAACATTTTTATTGAATATTTAATTTTAGAAAAAAATAAAAGCTATTATTATAAGATTATCATAAAATATACCATTATAAAATAGATTTTAGAATATTAATTAATGGTTTTATATAATAAATATATTTTTAACTTATTCCTTAAAACTAAGCAATCATTTCTATTTACCTGATAACCATGTTCCAATTCAGTGTAAGACATGTCAGAACGGGGTTCATTGAGGAAAAAAACTTGTTCAACTTTGATTTAGAAAACCTACTAAATCCTGTAAGAATGAAATATATTGATTTTCTACTTTCAACTTATAAATAATAAAGTATTACATTTGCTATTAATGCGTTAATTGTACCTAACAACTGATATAAAGATATGTTCAATAAACTATTATAAATGTTATTTAACATGATTATAAGTTAATCATGTTAATTTGTTTCAATTTGTTAAATTTACGTATGTTCGTGAGATACGTTGATAAAAATGTAACTGAAAAAGGTAACCTCGACAATTGATTCTGCATTGTCTATAGAAATTTGAATTTCATACATGACAGAAATAGAATTTAATCATTTGAAGCTGTAAAAGAAAATTAAAGATACTCGAATTACATTTTAACTTCGTATATCATAGATTCAAATATATAATTTGACTTCTATATCATGATTACTCCAAACTCCTTCATTAAACTCACCGATCTAAGGTTTAAATTAGTGTTAAATTACGGCACAAAGAATAACAATAACAAATGAATAAACAATGTTTAACGCCTGATCGATTTTAAAATTTTTATCAGTGCTCTTCAAGTTCAGACATCTTGTCAAACTTGAATCTCGATCTCTCGTATCGTTGAAATACTACGCATCCGGTTTGAATGAAATATAACACGGGTGTTCAAATAATCTGCAACGATAAACTACTAACACTTGTAAATCAGTTTCTTCCATCTTAACTTACGAAGAATTCGGACCTGCATAAATAACAAATGTCTATTTTATTGTGCATTAACTTTATTTCAATATCATTTATAAAACGTTATTGCATATTTACATTGTAATAATTTCACATTAATTTGGGGTTCATTTTTTACTTATTTTGCACGGTGAATTTTGTATACTTGAACAATAAAATCCAATTGAGCAAAATAATAATCGTACATTTATATGTGTCTTTAGAATATTTGTTAAAAAATATTAACATAGCAACTACATTCTTCTTTATTAAAAAATTAATAATTAAATCAAAATTATTTTCAACTGTGAAATCAAAAGATTATTATATATTGTCAATATTTCAGTATCACCAAAAAATTTGGAAAATGTTGAAATATTCACAATATATATTTTTAATTGAATTTCTTCTATGTAACTTAAATAACAACATTGGTAAATTTAATTAAGCTGTTTGCTTATCATTATTTACGTTATTTAATTTCTAACTTTTAAATATAAGGATAAATTCGTAAGTTCTAATGTAATAAGAAGAGAATTATATACAAAAATTAAAATTTAAGAAAATGAAGCAAAAATTGTACAGCACTTACGCATATAACGAAATATTTGATAAATATGTTTACAAATATGGTACATATTATGTATAAAAAGGATAAGAAAAATATATTAAAAATTCAACAACCTTGAATATAAATAAAATACAATAATTTTAAGTCCACAGTAATTAATTTTGTTTTACTAAAATTTCCAACATTAAAATTAAATGTATAAATTATTAATGTCTATTAACAGTAGTCAATATCATATTTCATTATGTTATTGCACTAGGTTTGATTTTTTTAAATTAACCATAGCTCATTGACTGGTCTTTTATAGATAATATCTATAAGATAACAATATCATGAAATCAACGAGATAGCGAAGTGATTCATTAAATATGGACTATAAATAGTTTATGTAAAGTTATAAAAGTTAGTTTTAATAATGCGAAAATTCGTATGCAAAATTTGTACTAATATCTTATGCATGTAAGTATTATCAGTGACATTATTTTTCGTCGCTGACTATTTATAGTCATTTCTTTGAGCCAAACGAAGGTTGAATTTTTAAGTTTCATTTAGCTGAAGGAATGGTATCAGTTTTTTCTTAATGTTTGTATTCTATTTACTATCAGCCCATTGGCCAGACATTAACCGTCATTGCGATTTCATTGACACGAGTTTCCGGGAGCGCGCTCGTGCTTCTGTACGAATATTCGTATATTCGAACCAAAGAATATTAGGAATTAACGTTGTGTCACGTAATAGTAAATACTCCGATATCCGCCTGAAAATACAAAATTATATACAGTAAATATGATATTTTCATTTTGTAATAAAGATAATATAAAATAAACAATGTACCATGAAACAATCATAGGAAACATCGGTGTAAGGACTACATGCGTAACTATGAACCATACTATTCCCAATATAATTCCTACAAATGCACCACACAGGACTTGAGAAATAGAATGATACAATAAGTAAACCCTACTGTAAGTCACTAAAATAGCAGTAATTATAGAAGCAGCTATAATGGTAATTCTCCAAAATCTTTCTAAAATACTGCTATTATTGTTATAGTGTAACCTAAAATAAAAATTTAAGAAATATAATAATTGTAATAGGTGTAATTCTCATATATATTAAGAAAACAGAAGTACATTACCTGATGCATATAAAAAGTGTGATATATGCAGCAAAAAACCACATAAATTGTGCATGCATTGAAGGCATACCATATTCAACAGAAACACTATCTCGTCTCATTGGTCTTGCTTCGCATATTGTATGTTTCAATATAAAATTTATAAATTCATTAATTATAACTCCACTAAAAAATGCAATCTAAAAAAATTGAAATCATGTGTTAGAAATAAAAGATCAGTTTTATGTGCATATTTGTAATGTTTTCAAAATGTTTACTCACTGTGTGCAAGTCTCTTCTAAAGAGAATCAAAGTTATGAAACCAGTTATAATAGCAAATGGTATCAAACTTATTAGAGCTAATAGTTTTCCAAATACATCACCTGAAAATAAAAGAATATTTTTTAAAAAATTCAAACAGAAACACCATGCAAATATTCTTTTAAAATATATATGAACATCTAAGGATAACAAAATTTTTAGTTTCTCATATTATTTATTAAAGTACATATGTATTATAATATGAATGTTATAGTGTATTTTATTTTCAACTTTTAAAACACATGCACAAATGTCAAATAGATGAAAACTATTGAAATATGTATGATAACATGAGACAAAGTTGTTGTGTATGGTATATGTATAATTTTATTAGAAAATAAAGAGCAAAAATAAAAACAGTAAACCTAGTAGAAATTATGCTGGAATTGTACAAAATACTTGCCTTGGGGGTATTCGACTAAAGTAAGAGATAAAGGAATCCATTCTGGATTTTCGACAGTATCTATGAGTCGTGATTTAACTTCATGAAACAATTTGTCGTCAAACGATGCCATGTTATCGAAATTTTTGAAGTGACCATAACTCGGACAACTCACCGCGCAGCAACAATCATGGAAACTACGGTTACATCTGGTACATCTTCTGCTGTAATGGAAACCGAGGATTTCCCTGATGTGACGAAATGCTCAAATCATTTTTTAGAGAGTGTAATCTCTTGTAAAACGAAGTGTATTATAATAAAAAATCTTTATTTGTACAGATAAGATAAATTCATATATTGATATTTTATTACGCGTGCTTTTCTTCACGTTGCATATGATGCATACTTTACGTAGTTGGATGCATCTATCTAGTGCCTTTCTAGTTGCTTTTTGCTTCGTGGTCATATACATGGCGAATAATAATACATGTATGAATGGTAAAAACGATCATTTTGAAAATGAATAGAATAAAATGTATAAAACATAACTATATGTAACGAAAAAACTATAAGTAAGTATACAAAGTAAAAGGAAATCTATTCTCCAAGCTGTATTCTTCTGAATATAAAATTGCAGTAGTAATTCGTAGTAGATTTTAAAAAATCGTGTAAACTTGTTCAGTCTCCTAAAAAATTGTTTGGAAACAAATATTCAAATTTAATCTTTTCTAAAAATCAATAGTTTGTGAAATTTTTTAAGTTCAGAAGAGAAAAACATGTTTTTAAAATGTTTATCAAAAAATAATAATTCTCGAAACTATCTGCCGACTAGGTATATGTACTTTGAGTTACTTTGACGCCTGCGTGTTGCTTTTGATTACGAACGTGCAGAACCAATTAAAGCAGGTCTACACAGCATGAACGAAAATTTGTCGTTCGGTACTAAATTGCTCTCGCTGAATAACGTGTATAAAAATATATAATATAATTATAAATATATGTTATAATCGCATTAATAAATGTTTATAATGTATTATATTTGTTGCATTATTATATCCTATATTTTACGTTGCGAGTATAATATATAAAAGTTTTGCAATCGGTTATGTTATTGTTTGGCAATGTTTCTGAATTTTAGGATATAAGATACATGTTCGAAATACCCAAACTAGTGACTTAAAAAGAGAAGTCACTATTTGAGAATAGTGCATAACACGTTTATACGTTTCGTACTGCGCAAGAAGCGGGAGAGGTAGCAAATCGGAGAGTTGCGTGCTGTTTTATTCGGTGTTTGCTTCCTGTTTGTGGTATGAATTTTAGTTACGATGTGATATAATTTACTTTTCCTTTGAGTTTACGTTTAATTTCTTTACTGTTTTTTATATTTTCCAGAATTTCGTAAAAAACTGCGTTTATCTTACGTTTGACGAGGTCTTACGTGCTTGTGCACCCGACAAACATTTTTTAGACTATATAATGGGTTAATATTTTAGGTAATGTACAACTCTTTGTGTATTTCATTGCATATTATGAATTCAGCATAAATGTTGCATCTTATAAAAAATGTAATATTAACTTCATGAATTTTACAATAAATGTTCTACTTATGTGTCATTATTGTTAGTTGTGTATATATTATTCTGTTTGTAGCTTTTATATTGGAATGTTATATGACAGCTTATAAAACACATGGCAGACCAGAACAGTACAAATTGTGATGCACTTTGTGCAAATGATGAAGTTGAAATTGAAAGTCTAAACAAGAGGTTGTTACAGTTATTGTCTGTGACGAAAACTCCATCAAAAGCTGATGTTAAAAGTAGCACATCTCAGCCATTGTGTAATATTAATAATGATAGTAGTGACAGCCTTAGAGATGAAACTAAAGCATCTAATTCACAGATGTTTAGTCATTATAAATATGATTGTTCCTTTTTACATCATGATGCGCCAGTTAATTTGTCTACTGTACCAAATTATCTACCACCCATTGGTGTATTTTGGGACATAGAAAATTGTCATGTTAGTATTCAAATTAAACTTTAAAATTCATAATATTTTATATTAAAAAAATAATTATTCTAGGAATTATATTAAATATATGATCATTGCAGGTTCCGAAAGGAAGGTCTGCCATAGCTGCAACACAAGTAATTAGGGAAAAATTTTTTAGTGGTTATAGGGAAGCAGAATTTATTGTGGTATGTGATGTTTGTAAAGAGAATAGTCAAGTTGTAAAAGAATTGAATGATGCTCAGGTAAATTTATTAAGAATATATTCAGAATATATTTTAGATTCTTCTACTATGTATTATATATATATGTTATATTTTATTATTTTAGGTCAATCTAATACATGTAGCGAAAAGATGTAAAAATGCTGCTGATGAGAAGCTTAAGCAATCTATTAGGAGATTTGCTGATATTCATGGAAGTCCAGCAGCTGTAATTTTAATATCTTGTGATATTAATTTTGCTGCGGATCTTAGTGATTTACGTTACAGAAAGAAAATTCATGTGATACTTTTACATATGAAGAATACATCTGAAGCATTAATAGTATGTGCTAATGAGCATTATGATTTTTTAGAACTTATGGAATCACTGCCGTCCAGGACTGTAAAGGTAAATTAATTAAAAATTCATTCTCTTCTTCTTCTATGTTCCTTCTATATTTTTATTTAAAAGGAAACTGGGGAAGCTATAACTTTATTTTTATGTAGTGTGTCTTAAATACTTGTGTTTGCAATAGCATGCTATGGACTATTAAATATCTCACTATAAAACTTACCTTTAATTGTATGAAAAATGGCTTTCAGGTTGCTGTACATTATGACCTTCTAGTTAGCAACCTTCCTGAAGATCAAAATGTTGTATCCATTAAACGTCGTCTAAAGCAATTATCTGAAAATTGTGGTGGCCGAGTAGTAGAAATTCAATCAAGTACTGCAATTGTCCGCTTTACTTCAAAAATCTTTGCTATCAGGTATATGCTTACCTTAATGTTTGATTTTTTATCAATCATATCTCTGCAATGTGCCAATTAATAATATTTAAAAGTATGCTTATGCTTAAAGAGAAGTATTTGATTACAATAGTGTTATATTAAATACGATCATGGCATCCAAATAAGTGATAACCATAAATCCATTATTTGAATAAACCGCCTTTTGTGACCAATGAGACACTTCTAGTTACAGATATTCTATTGGTCTGTTTAGCATTAATGAAAAAAAAGGTCCTTACAGTAGTAGGGATAAGTACATAAATAAGGTAGAATTCAAACAAAGAACAGCAATGTAACGAACATAGTGGCACTGTAGGAAACTTATAATTTTGATTCGTATAACGTATTTCATATATGTGTGCAATTGAGTTTAGTGTTAAAATATTAATATTCTCTGGTATATTATTATTATTTATCGTTTTATTTATTTATATTATATTATAATGTTGACATAATGTAATGATTTTATTTACTTGTAAGGTAAGTTGAAAATACAAAGATATATTTAACAACAGTTAATCCAGTCTGTGAAATGAAGTATTTAACAAATTATTAAATAAAAATATATAAAGTTTCTTTGAAAAATTAACCGATTTCAATTTGTATCATAAATATATTAAGTGAAATCTTCAAGGTCATTTATAGACCAAATGATTGGGCTATTGTAATCAACTATGCTTAATAACAATGTGACTTTTTTTGTAGGGCTCAGAAACGTATGGATGGCGAGATTGTCCTTGGTTCGAAAATTTGTGTAAAATTTCAAAAAGAGAAAAGGAATAATTTCCATAAAATTCAAGGTATTTCTGTTACATGCTTTGTTTGTTGTTTTCTTTTTTCTTTGGAAGTTCTATTATGTTATTGAAAAAGATTTAATAATGTATCTTTATAATTCTAGGAAATTCTACAGGAAAGAATACTTCTATAAGTGAATCAGAAATTGTTACTAGTTCTCCTAAACAAATGTATAGTGCGAGCGCTTCGTTAGCGGCTGGGAGAGCCCTTCATGTTCCACATTATCAATCTTCGTCACCTGTTATTGGAGCATATTCCGGATGGAGTGCTCACTGTGCTCCTGTTCCAGCGCCACCAGGGTAATTTCAAATTTTCGAGATACACTTGGGTGTAACGGTAGATTCTTTTTAGATAAAAATAAATTGGAAAATTTTTATGAAAAATTATGATGAAAATCCGAGAGAGAGTCTTGGAGTCGCAAGTAGACACTGTCCTTGCTTGATTCGGACAATGACGTTAAAGAAGCTTTGATCTTATCTGATTTAATATTTAAAAAAAAATAGTAATATTTGTTATTAATGTTTGATAATTAAATATTTTTCCATATTCTTTTTTTGCAGAATAATACAACCGCCATCTATTTTTGTTGGGAGACCATATTCAAATAATAATAATGTAAGTTTTAATAGAAATTACAATGAATTATCAAGGGTCCAATCTCCACTGCTTTGGCAAATTTCTGGTTCTCAACAATTTAGTCATATGTGGGAAGAACAGTATAAAGTATGTAATTTTATGAAAATCGATTTTATAGAGTAAAGTATATGATTATTATTATTATTTTTGCATGAATGAATAATTTTAAGGTGGAAAAGACAAAAGTACTTAGTAGAAGGATTCATATCCCGCAGGCTCGGGATAATGGAGTAGCGAGTAATACATCTTCTCGTACTCCTGAAAATTTAAGACGTATTAGAGGAACGCACACGTCTTTTGTTCAGTCTGCTGAATGGACTGGATCAAGGCAACAACATCCTTCATTAAATACTTCATCAAGTTTCAATGGAACTGGTAAATATCTTATTTTCCTATTGCAGCTTTTTTAAATTCAAGACCGCAATAACCATCTATTTTTGCTATTTTATAGGTCATGCTCAGCCAAATTTTAATCGTCGTAGTCCATCTCCATTGTGTGACCTGCAACCAAGAGAACGACAACAGTGGAATGGACAGGTATAGTTATTCAAATCTGTTTCAATGTTAATACATATGTATTGCATAATATAATTTTTGTTTAAGAATCAACACTCTGTACCTTCACGAAGTTCTAGAACGCCTTCACCTTATGAGAATACAGTACAAACAGCAAACCAACAAAACAGTCACACTTCACCTTATCATTTAGGTGATGTAGAAAGCGAAGAAGTTGAGGTATAACTTATGCTTCCTTAATTTGTCATTACTATCAAAAAACCTATAATTACCTATCTTTTTTTATGTTTTAGAAATTTTTCAATCCAATAAATAATCATAATGGAAGTTCGGTGAGCAACGAAACATGTACACCTATCGAATTGCAAGTAACTAATTTAGACCAAAGTATTAACCCAAAAAAAATGCGACACATGCTTGCCTCTATTTTCTTAGAACATGTGATGGTAAATAATTATTCAGTCACATCGTTAATGTTAATAATTTTCAACTCAATAATAATTTTATTCTGGATATTTTTAGGTGTTAAATGTTTCTATGTTTACGCAATCTGATGGTAACTTTGCAGCAAGCGTTAAAGTACCTTCTTTATCAGATGCGCAGTACGCAATTTCTCAATTACATCGTCGTAAAGTAGGATATAAACGTATTTTAATAGCGTATGCTCACAGCGGTAGAGCAAGCCCTCAAGTTGTGCGAGCTCAAATCGTAATGTTGTTGCAAGAAGTACCAGGCCATAAACTTCCACTTTTTAAATTTCGAGAAATGTACGAGTGTCGTTTTATGATTTCCATCAGCGTATCCGAACTATATAAAATGAAAGATGTTTGTATTGTGACGGAAGATCCTGGCGGTAGAATGGTATCCCTCAATCCAGATCACAGGAACACTCCATCGCCATGTTTCAATACTACAACTCAGGTATTTTAAATTTGATATTTTACTATCTAAATAATATACAAATTTTAAATTTACAATGATGTATATCAAGCCGAGTTCGAGTTTTTCCAATAAAAGTAGAGTCATTACTCCTTTTACTGTTGAGATTCAGTGACGATAACCCGAAGCGTTTAAAATCTTCTGAAATAGAAATATATACTACACTAATTCATAAGTATATTTGTACAGACTATAAAATACATGTTTAATTATCAGGAGGAACAAGTAGAGTTACCCTATTGTACTATTCATACGTTAAAACCGTGGTCGGATAAAGGATGGGCTGAACAGAAAGTAGCGTCGCTTCCAAACGTGAGAATTTCGCTGAAAGTTCTTGATCCACGTATACATCAATTGCTGACGATGCATAATGGAAGCTTACCATTGCCTAGGTATCTGTTACAAGTCATATTAAATTTCCCTATCTTTATTGATGAATTATATATTTATGGTAAATTTTTTCAGTTTGCCAAATTGTTATGAAGCTGAATTTAAAGAAAAATTACAAGTCTGTGAAAATGGAGTACCTTTAGAACACTTAGTATCCTGCTTATCATGTGTTGAATTAAAACAGGGTATTGGTAGTGTGAAATACCTTATTTGGACCGGGAATAAAACTCACGATAGTAATCACGAAGGTAAGTAATTAGTTAATAATACATTGATGATAAAATTTAAATTATTGATCCTTTCAGAAAACAAGTGTGTGAGTCCTCCCCTTGCAAATCAGTTAGCACTTTTTAGTCGTGAATTAGTTGATCTATTAAAAACTGCTCCACATTGCCAATTGCCATTTAATAGATTTATACCTGCATACCATCATCATTTTGGAAGGCAATGCAGGGTTGCAGATTATGGGTTCACTAAACTTATCGACTTACTAGAAGCTCTTACTCATACTGTGCAGGTAAATTAAAAAGGTTCAAAGTTTGTTGAGAACCATTTACATCTGAACTGTTTATTTTAGGTAATGGGCGAAGGAAATAATCGTGTAGTAACATTATCGCATCGTGCACAAGTACGTCGTTTTACGTCAGATCTATTAAGAGTTTTAAAGTCCAAAGCTAGTAAACAAGTAGCACTCTCAGAATTCCCAAGTGTTTATTCCAGAGTAATAGGTAAATATTTCTTTTTTAGACTTTCTCAAATGTTGTGAAGGTAAAACATAAAAATATTTTATACAGCTAAACCGTGGGATATTGTGGATTATGGTGTATGCGAAATTGAGGATATTCTTAGCGAGGTATCAGAAAATACTGTCGTGGTTACTACGATTAGTGGTGGAGATAAAATGATAGCGATTCCTAAACGGGAACAAACAGCGGAAGAAATGGAACGAACAAAGCAATTCGCAGTCGAGGTAAAATATATATACATTAAAAATATTGTAAGAAAATCAATTTGATAACTATAGCAATGCATTCGCTTTCGCTCAGGTAATAGAACTACTGCGGCACGCTCCTCAATGTAGAATGCAATTCAATAAATTTGTACCATCGTATCATCACCATTTCGGCCATCAGTGTCGCGTATCAGATTATGGTTTCACTAAATTAATCGAATTGTTTGAAGCTATACCAGAAGTAGTTAAAATAGAAGATGACAATTCTGGCGAAAGACAAATTTCTTTAACTGAAAAAGAAGGCCTCCGCGTACTTTCTGAACAAATATCGAAGTTAGTCACGCGATCGAAAGGTTGTCTTAGCATTACAAGCATCGCTCAACATTTCTTAAGACAATTTGGTTATGCATTGAAACCAGAATTATTTGGATGCACGTCCATATTGCAACTTATGCAAAAACTTGGAAACACTGTAAAGGTATAAAGGTGAAACAAATTATAAGTTTATTCCTACATTGAAATAATGTATTTATAATCTGTAAATTATGTAGATCATGCATCTGACAACTGGACCTACAATTGTAATGATTAACAAGTCTCACTTGCAACAACTGACTTTGCAATGTCGTCGGTTGTTAATGGATAGAGCACAAAATAAGATGCCACTTAAGGAGTTTCAACAATTATATGTTCAGTATTACTTAAAATCGTGTAATATAGATGAACTCAAGCAAAACTTGTCGAATGTTGTTCAAGTAAGTTACAATTTTACTTGATCAGATAACTATTTCTGTAAAGAATTTACAAAGTTACATGAATATGATTTCAGTTTTCAATGGTGAACGATGAAGAATTTATACAACTTACTTCGTTACATTCTTTCGCTTGTAATTTATATCGAGTCATGATGAATCATGGTGGAACATTGAAATTCTCACAGTTTGAGACTGCATATTTATCTACTATAGGATCTGTCTGCAAACCTGCAGAGTATGGTTATCCAACAATTTTTTCACTCCTGCAGGCTTTACCTTGTACAGTAACGATAAAATTATCACGGCGAAAAAAGTATATTATATATCTGAACAGGAACATAGCTGGTAAGTAAACGATACATATATAATTATATTACAAATTCATTTACTTACAGAAATTTAAATTTATTTCATGAACAGTTGCTGGTATGCCATTACCACCAACTTACACATCAGCATCGTCGTATCGTGATACGGATTCTAGTAACGAATCGTTTGAAAGCGATTCGTCTTTTCGTATTAACGTTTCTAGTAATTCAATTACATCAGAGGAGCGTGCAAAATGGGCAGGACAAACTGTTGAGAATCAAAGTTCTTGGAAGCAGACTGATGAGAATAATTTATGGTCGAAAGAATCTGAAAAATCATGGAAATCATCAGCTTCAGAAAATCAGTTAGCTAGTTGGTCGTTACAAGAAAATGGAAGTGAAAGTTTTATTAAAAATTTAATGCATACTTCAATTATATCGCGTGGTTTTCCACCTCCACCTCCTAAACCAGATTCTCCACCTGAGGTATTTTTAAGCTTTAATAAAATATGTTGTCTCTATGTACTTTTTATTTAAATATAATGCATAAATTGCAGGAAAATTTGAACAAAAACCAATGGGATTCATCAGTTTGGATGACTCCAACAAAGTTTATGTATCCACAGGAGGAACATCCTACTAATGTGCAGGTAAATATTACTAACTTCATCGTTTAACAATTCCTTGTTCAGAGTAATAATTTATAATTTTATTACCTTATTTATTAACAGGTTCCCCCTATCACATTACCTCCTTCTTGGAATCAACTTGTGTCCAGTGATAGTGCATCCAGTTTACTATCGCCAACAAAAAATTTGTTACCAGCTGCAGCAAATCCTTTAAACCCACGTACTTCACCCTACTATTCCTCTAAACTTAATTTAGTTGTCGCTCCTCATCCTTCTGAGTTGCCACTACCTTCGTTATCCTTAACTCCTAAGAAAAATGTTATGTCCAATGAAACTCCCCTAAAAAAATCAGAAAATATTAATAATTCAGCAGAAGAAATGACTCTTAAAAACAATGGAAATGATAGCAATAGCGTGGAAGATGATAACGATAAGGAAAAATATAATACTCCTGTAAAGCAGTGTAAGTAGTGCGTGATTTTCAATAATTGTCATTTACATTTGTATAGCATACAACATGATTTTTACAGCGTTTACGAGTAAACGTCGTTTAGCTGCTCAGTTTAATCGACCTATTGAGTCGTGAAGAATAAAGTGAAGTAGGAAAAGTGTACAAACGCATCAAGTACGCTAAAGAAGTGAAGATTACCAGCATCGAAAACATCATGTAGTGTGTTGATATAATTAATAAAGGAGGAATTTATAGCATCTCGGTAGGCTGTCACACAGCGGGTCAATACCTACACACCATTCCTCCGAATGATGGTAGGTACCCCTCATTTATATTTAAAAATATACGGTAGTAATATATCGATTTGATACATACAGAATAAAAGAACAGAATTTATTTTCAAGAAGTATGAAAATATACATATATATATATATATAAATATCTATATACTAAGTGATTATAATTTCTGATTATGAAAATATAAGTGTGCGGCGTTTATACCGAGTGATATACACTGATTGTATTATGTATCAAATTCATGTAGCATTTTTCATACTGTGATATAGAATAGAAAGTGCAAATGATATGTAATGATACACAAGAACAAAAATTTATAAATGGGTAATAATTGTACACCTTTCGTAGGATTGGGTCAAAATTCTATAGTAAATTTTACTTATTTCGTTATGCTAAATACATCATTTGAACGTAAACCGGATGATATTTTGAAAATAAAATTTCGTTTATCATATACACGAATATTAGATACTCATTTATATTTTATAATATTATATAACAAAATACGTATCAATTCAAACTTTATTGGCTCAACCCTATCCGTAAATTATTGGGAAAAGCGAATTGTATTCAAATATTGAAGATCGTTAAAATTATCTACATGATAATGTTATTAACAATTACAACATTGAATGCAATTCATTTTGTATCGTGTATACATTCTACTTTGTATTTTTAATTGTACAATTATTTTTCTCATTCGTGTCAGAAATTTTCTTTCACTATTATCTGTTCATTTTTATAGCATACATGATTTAATTATATCATGAATGATTGTGTATGATATTTTGAAATGTTATGCTATTTTGTTGTATACATGGAAATATTTTTAAGAAAATATTTATTGAACTTAATATAATAGTCACTATTAACTGAAAATCATAAAAATGGAACAACCGTATATTGTTTATAAAGTGAAATTTTTATTGAAACTAATCTGCTAAAAACATGACAAGTAATAAATGTTTTATCAAATATCAGACAACCGAAAGAATGCAACAATTGCATCGATCAGATGTTGTAGCATCCAATGTTACTTTTAGTAATGATACTATTTTGTGAAAATGTTTTCTATTTTCAGTATCAAGTGAGAAAGATTAGAAAAAAAAAAGAGATATAATGATGTTCATTATTTAGAAAAGTACGTGATTAGTAGATCTAATGCATGATGCAAGTGAATCTTTTTGAATTGTATGTAAATGATCTCATATTTTACTTTATTTTTAAAATGCGTTTTATCGGGAATATTATTATGTGTACAATTTCGAAAGCGCGAGGGAGCCTGAATCAGAAATATTAGTTATGCATTGCTAGATTTATGCACAACAGTCGCCACGTCAAATTATATTCTAAATTCGGTACATTGCCAAAAATTTCAAAGTATAACGATAAATCGATTCATTGGTATTAAATTTACATAATTCATTAAACGACAATCATATATTAGTATTTTAGTATTTTAGGCTTCCTAAATTCAGTTTCTATTTATTTAAATCGAATGAAGTAATTTTGTTATGTATTACTATATTTATTACGTAGGAATGAATTCTATTGTATTTTATATTTATATGAAAAGAATGATAATTTTTACCTTTGCTTTTTAACTTCCATAAATATTCCAGTTTATATTTTCTATTAGTCACAGTATTTTTGTTATATTTCGAAACATTTATTATACAAAATCAATTCTATGGATACTTATAATTTATGGCACATTTTTTATCTATACATGTACAGCGTGTAATATCATTCTGACTAATAGAAAATTAAATTGGTCCTTATGCAAGAAATATCAAAATAAGATGTAATAATTTTATAAAAAGATTTTATTGTAATAACAAATATAAACAAAATTGTAAAGTATAAATAATAATTGGAATATTCTAAATGAGTATTTAATAAAATAATTTGTTACACATGTACAATAGATTGTTTTGATATATTGTTAAAATAAGAAATTAATAAAAACAAATTAGTTAAGAAACATGGAAACCTTTTGTCATAAATATTTTAACATTAATCATATAATTATCACACAAAAAGAAACTGAACACAGTGTCAAATTTTATAAATTAATTTATTTTATGTATTACAGAGTCTATACAATGATGCAAACACAGTTTTATCAGAAACTGAGATATATATGTTACATCAGTTAACAATCTATGCATATTTATTATTCATACCGCTACCAACAGGACCATGTCTTCGTTCCCAAATCATACGGTGCTTTTGTTTCATAAATGCACTGCGTGCATCAAGTTTTATACCCAGATCACCATCTATGTTTCAATAAAATATCACAGTTAAACAATTTGTACAGTTCTTGCTATGATCATATTCTTATTTACCAGTAAATAAATTATATAACATTTAATATATTAGACAGTAGTTTACTGAATTTAATAAACTTACATTTTATGAACCAGGCATTGGCAGTATCTTCATAAGTTTTATATAAATCTTTACACATGGTTTCTCTATCATCACCATGTACCCAACAACAATGTTCATAACGATTTCTTAATATACTAAGTATTTCATCCTCCACCATTCTGACAAAAGATGTAACAAAAGAAATATGATAGTATAGGAAAAAAGATGGTAACAGCCAGATAATCACATGTGATTAGTAAGAGACTTCATATAGGAATTTATTATAAAATAATAAACTTACTTATCACGTAAAAATTGTGAATTAGCTTCCTGGATACAAACTACGTCGAGTTCATGACATTCATCAATTGTTGGAACTCGACGAAATTTTTGATGATACCAGGGATACTTCTTTTGATTCGGTAGAACAATATTTTCTGTCAACAATAAGAAATGTAAGGTGTCATTGATTATTTCTTTTTATATTTAATACAATAATAACATAACCAAATGGTCGATTAGATAATACCTCGGAAATATTCGACTGGTGCATCCAGAATGTAAATTACTCTTTTTAAAAACCGACCGACTGGATTTGGTTCCGGATCCATGTCGTTGCGAAGTTAATTCACTGAACACAATCAAAAAAACAAGTTATTTAATACATTAATAGATTATTTGAAATTGCAGGTTTCTTCCCGTGGTCCAAGGACCATGGAATAAGTACTTTTAAAAAACTCCACCATCCAACTAGTTACTATCTACTGTCTAACACATAAATAATAATTTTCGGTCATTATAAGTGTAGTATTTATTTCTTTTTTTTAATATTCCCATTCTTTTCTTCTGCTATCACTTTCTTTAAAATTTAATGAATTTATTTAACAAATTTATGTAGTTTTTTTGAATTTACGCATTTATGGCCCTCAGTACACATACTCAGTAATCCAAATTTCCCAAGATTTAACATTCCAAACCTTTAAATTCCTCAGTATATAAATTTCTTAATTTTTATGTTTCTAAGACTTTATATTTCCAAATTTGAAATGCCTAATTTTCTTTCTTCCGTTCTTATAATTTGTCTACTGTATATATGATCGATAAAACAGGAAGCAATACGGTGATATAAATTACGGCAAAGTTGTACGAAATGTGTAAACTGCATATAATTTGTTATCAACTGGATAATAACATTTTGTATTTAAATATTTATATATATATTATTAGATTTACATAAACAAATAAATAAATAAAATATTTTCTATTTCTAGTAATTTTTGTATGCATAGTGGTAAGCCTGGTTCGTCGTCACAGTATAAAAGGAAGTTACAGGAAGTGCTTCCTCCATTTTCATCGTCGTTGGCAAGATGGTAAGTACGAGTGTTGCGTGGCTTTAAAATAATTCAACAAATTAGTTTATAATCGTGTTCCATTTTCAACATAAAAACAATTTGGTTGTTGTAGTCATCTTAGTTAATATCACAATGATCATGAATTCGTCTTTATTTAGTAAAAGAATTAAAATATCTTGGAATATCGTAAAAACTTTGTGCACTGCATGGCGAACATGTGCTTGATTAATATCCACTTTATTAAATGATGATTTAGATTAAAAAGTTTATGGTTATTAACTGAATAACTTTGAAGAAATGCTCTAGGGCGGTCTGACTCATAAAATAATTATTAATATTTTTTAATATTTATTATATATTCTATACTTATCATAAAACTTATTGTACAGTCACATAGAAAATTCAGTGCACCCCGCCATGGGTCTATGGGATTCTATCCCAAGAAAAGGTCTCAAAGACATCGTGGTAAAGTTAAGGCCTTCCCTAAAGATGACCCGAGCAAACCAGTTCATCTAACGGCTTTTGTTGGTTATAAGGCGGGTATGACTCACGTGGTGAGAGAAGCCGATCGTCCTGGCTCAAGTGAGTAAACGCAGAACTTCTAATTTTTAATTAAATAATAGTCAATAATCAGAATTGCATACAGTTTTGTTACTTATTAACACTGTTGCATATTTTATATTAATCGACACGATGACCTTAGTCTGATAAACACAGCAATGTGTTGGTCAACTTTGGTTGCGGTATAGGAGCTGCTTGATATTGTGCAGTATGGTCTAAACCGCAGTGTCGAAAAATAACTCTATGCACTGCTTATGCAGGTAGCAAGGAGGCAAGGCATATTCCATATTCTCGTTGGAACCCATTGGGTGATGAGCATCGAGCTAAACCATGTCTAGCACAGTTCTATACTATTAAATAAATAGTCTTTTTTAATGTAATCTATAATTGCTGTAATTATAATTGTGCATGTCATGTGTTTATAGAGGTAAACAAGAAAGAAATTGTGGAAGCAGTGACTATTCTTGAAACACCACCTATGATTGTGGTTGGTGTAGTTGGATACATTGAAACTCCACATGGTCTACGTGCTCTTACAACAGTTTGGGCTGAACATCTTTCAGAGGACTGCCGTAGGAGATTCTATAAGAACTGGTAAGTTTGAGAACTCTACTTGAAAAGACTTTAGATATTTAGTACATAAAATTATTATGCAACACATATTAAAATCAGTTCTGAATTAGCTCTCCGCTCATTTTGATGAGAGCACAAATTTGGATATAGCCAGAAAATAAAATGTTCTGTGAAAGGCTAACCCAAAAAGTGTGTACAGTCTCCGCTCATTATGAAGAGGCTGGCACGTTACAGATGGATACTAGAGTATAAATGTAAACAGGAAAACAGCCATTACGGTTACTTTTCTACAGGTACAAGAGCAAGAAGAAGGCATTTACAAAGGCTTCCAAAAAATGGCAAGATGATCTTGGTCGTAAATCCATTGAAAGTGATTTTAAAAAGATCATTAAGTATTGCAAGGTCGTCCGAATTATTGCTCATACCCAGGTAATTTATCAAATTATTTACTATGTACATACATATCAATATCTATTTCTAATTAATTATATCTTAAAATAGATGAAACTCTTGAGACAACGACAAAAGAAAGCTCACATCATGGAAATCCAATTAAATGGTGGAACCATTGAACAGAAGGTACAGTGGGCACGTGAACATCTTGAGAAACCAGTACCTATTAGTAACGTCTTTGCTCCTGATGAAATGATAGATGTAATAGGTGTGACAAAAGGAAAAGGATACAAAGGTGCGTTTTTTTTGTATGATAAAATTTTCATTTAAAAACTGGACTAAATGATGATAAAACATGATGTGTGTATCTGATTATTTTGAGGATAACATCATGCTGCCTTCCTACTGAGGTCCTTAACTAAAAAAATTATATATGATTCGTTTTCACAACTAATATATAAGTATAAAAATGACTAAAGAACGTATAATTTATTACAGGTGTTACATCACGTTGGCATACAAAGAAGTTGCCACGCAAAACGCACAAGGGTTTGAGGAAAGTTGCTTGTATCGGAGCTTGGCATCCAAGCCGTGTGTCCTTCACGGTAGCACGTGCAGGTCAAAAAGGTTACCATCATCGTACAGAAATGAACAAGAAGATTTATAGAATTGGACAAGGAATTCACACGAAGGATGGCAAGGTACGTACTATTTTCATTTTTTAACAAAAGTGATTGCCTCCTCCCCTATGTTTGTCTTCTTAATTAATGAAGATAATAATATCATTGGAGGCAAAGATAAATAGCTTGGTTCATAGTACCTAATGTTACGCTTATCGTACTTTGGATCTCCCAAGCAAGCTACAAACATATAATATATTAATTCAAAAAGAAAATCATAAAATGCATATCTACTTAAATTGCTAATTTAATTCTAGATTGTAAAGAACAACGCATCGACGGAGTACGATCTTACAGAAAAAACGATAACTCCCATGGGTGGTTTTCCTCATTATGGTGAAGTAAATAACGATTTCGTTATGATTAAAGGATGTTGTATGGGACCAAAGAAACGTGTGATCACGTTACGCAAGGTAACTATTAACAACTTCTCTTTTTTTACAGTTGCATTGTTAATTTTTTATGATGAATTAATAAAGAGCCAACACATATTTTATGAAATTGAAGTGATATTTAAATGATAGGACTGATGATTAAAAAGCAATTGAGAAAATAGTTGCCAGTGAATATGATTATAATAATAATTCGATATTTTTTTCAGTCCTTGTTGGTACATACTAAACGAGCTGCACTGGAGAAGATCAATCTCAAATTCATCGATACCAGCTCCAAATTTGGACATGGTCGCTTCCAGACAGCAGCTGATAAAGTATCATTTATGGGTCAGCTTAAGAAGGATCGCATTCGTGGAGAACAAGCACATGCCACAACCTCGGCGCCTGCAGCTGATCCTGCTCTGTAAATTTTGCATATTATAAATTATATGCAATAAATAAAAAAAAATTTCATGAAATGGTAGTTTTTTATTCTTTGAGTTTTAAGTTTTAATTAGGCCAATCGAGAAATCCTAGTAATTCTTTTATAAAAATTCCTGGAAGGTAGGAATTGTTAATAATATAAGACTTATGCAGCAGATATTCATGTATGATAGTTCTAAATTATTTAAATCTGTGTAAATATGTAAATATAAATATTTAAGATTATAAACATAATTAGTAAGTATGCAACACGAAACAATAAATACAGAAAATAAAGAATGTTTAGTAAATTTTATGTTTCTACTTACCTGCGTCAAAATATTCTAATTACATCAAGAAATAAATTACTATATATATTAAATATAGAACTAGAGAAAGTATATAAACAATGATAAATTATAAAAACAATAAAAATAACAAAATGTGTTTCTAGGAAACCGAAAGTGATGCGGTGCTTGAAACAAATGCAGAGCATATTTTGTTTGACATTTGTAGTATTTCTCTAGGGAACAGGGAATTACACTGCATTTGAAATTTGAATTGTTTGGCGGATTTAACCTCTAATATAATCTAATATAATTAATAAATGTGCTGCTATTTTTATGTCTTTCATAAAAAAAATTAATCGACAAACATTTAGAAATTGTGCAGCATTCCATTCGGCTGTTCGTAATTTATCAATGAAGAGAACACGGGCTGTTGCGAAAACAAATGTAACGGAAAGAGAAAATAAAAATAATGATACAACGAAAATAAAATCAGAGGTTAATGTCCTATGTTAATTTCCTATATACTTCTAGAATTAAAAAGCTTCAAAATTTTTTCTTGTAATTTTGTAATTTTTAACTTATATGTTAATATGTTAACTAGTAGTTTATTTTATATTAAATAAATTTTTTTCAGGACTCTGATCTCCACACTGTTGTTCACAATTTACAAAATGAAAAACAGATTAATACATTGGAACCATCGTCAGAAAATACTCAAACTTCTGACCAGAAACAAAAGACTAAACTTAACTTTAAAAGTCTAAAAAATAGTAAGTCCATTTAAATAATATTAATGTATTTAATACCATAGTGGTCATCAATGATCAATGACTAGAATTTTATATAACTCTGTCATAGGACATAAGAGAATCAATGAAGAACTGGAACCAAATACACCTCCTCCAAAAAATAAAAGTAGAGCAGTGGTGGATCTTGAAATGATGAAAGCAGAATTAAAACAGTTAGAAGATCCTCCTGTAAGTGTATGGGAGAAAGAACTATCTTCCAATAGATTGCCATATTCTTTCTTTGATTCTCCTTGCGAAGAATTAGCTCAAAATTTATTAGGTAGCATCAATACATATTTATTAACTCAATCTTTTATTTGTAAACCTTTGTTATTGCTAATATATACATTATATTTAGGAAAGGTATTGGTTCGCTGCTTAGAAAATGGTACTGTTTTAAAAGGTAGGATTGTTGAAACAGAAAGTTATTTAGGAACAATTGATAAAGCATCTCATACATATCAAAATAAAGTTACTCCTCGTAATATACCAATGTACATGCCACCTGGTACTATATATGTATATATGACATATGGAATGTACCACTGTTTCAATATTTCCAGCCAAGGTGAGTCTGAAAACACTAAAATTTATTTCAATTATCACCTAGGTATAGCATTTATGGTTTCAAGTAGTTGCAATAAACTTTAAGAGAAAAAAATATTTAGAGTCAGGAAGATATGTGCTAATTAAAGCAGTGGAACCCTTACTTGGTCTTGATTACATGGAATTGTTAAGAAATATGAAATATGGAAAAGATAGAAAGGAAAATAAACTCGTGGATAATGTTAGATTTTTCAAAAGATATGAACTTTGTAATAATCCATCTAAGATTTGTATAGCATTTGTTATTGACGAAGATAATTTCAATCAAAAAAAGATTTATGAGTCTGATAATTTATGGATAGAATGTGATCCATATATAAAGTCAACTACTATTGTAGCAGCAGGTTCTCAAAACGGTGTAAAACCAAAAATGTGCAGATATTATGTATTAGGAAGTTCTAGTGTTACTCATAGAGATATTAAAGCTGAAGAATATGCTTATGATAATTAAGAATTTTATATACTCAACATTGTGTCATATACAAATCTCATAGTAAGATTTTAGGTGAGGGGTGTGCTGTTTTGATAAGGGCTGTTGAACCTTTACAAGGTATGGAATGCATGAACAATCAGCGAACTTCGAAAAAAACAAGTACGTCTAAAAAGACTTTAAAAGAGTTAAAAACTCACGAGTTATGTAATGGTCCATCAAAGCTCTGCATGGCTTTTCAACTCCATAAAAATCACAGTAAATATTCTTTGTGTACCTGGAAAAGTTTGTGGATTGAAAATGGTGACATGGAGGACATAAAAATTGTTAAATGTCGTAGAATAGGAATAGACAATTATGGGGAAGAATGGACTAATAAACCATTAAGGTATTATATTTATGGTAGCAAAGCTGTGAGTAAGCGAAATAAAGAAGCAGAATCACTTCTTGGACTGAATTAAATTATAATGAATGCATGTGATCCAAATTTATTTATTTTTTTTTACTTGATTTAATATATTCCACGAATTTGTAACATTATGAAATATATATCTTATAGTGCTTTACGATTATTTCAGTTTTTTATTTCTAAATTTACAAATAATTACTATACATGTATAAAATAAATACTTTACACATTCAATTAGATATAATACATGTTTTGTTTGTTACAAATAAAAATGATGGTAAATAAATGTAACATGTAGTAATACATGTTTGGAAATATTTTACAAACAGATTATGCTTCATAGTACTCATGCCCATTCCTTCATTACTCTTTCATAATCTTCTTCCTCGATAAACGGCTTATCTATAGATCTGTAACATTTTAACTCAGTTAATGATGAAATGATTTACAAACTCAAAATAGAACTTACTCTATCATAAGTTCTCCACAATATAAACATTCAGAAGCTATTAATTCATCGATATCAGCCTTAATTTGATCTTTCGTAGACAAAGATACAGATGCAACTGATGTTGTATCTTCAGGTCTATTAGAAAGAGCAGTAAGTTGTCTTTGAAGATCAGCCAGCTTTGTTCTCTGACTCATTGATAGCATAGGCGTTAATGCAGCTACGAGACAATCACTATGAAATCTATGTCCACAGGGAAATACGTAAAACGGTCGCAGTAACAGTCGGACATCACAAGTATTACATGTGTCTTTTGCATATACAAATGTGCATCTGAAAAAGGTTTAATTATATTGTAACTTTGAATTATCCATTAATATTATTCTATATACCTTGTTCTAAACTCTTGTATGTCTTTTCTAATAAGTTCAGCTGCTTTTGTAGCTTCCTGCATTTCTTCCTTGAGATCTTGAATATGTTGATTGTATTCCTATAAATTATAATTAAAAAAAAAATACGTAATTATATGTATTTTTAACAAAATGTTTACATATTAGTTATGTAATTATTTCACCTGTAATGAATTGCATATAGCATCTTTGAAATGATCAATGGTGACAAAATCTGAAAAGAATGGTAATATATCTTCTATTCTAACTATATCACAACTTTTTAAAAATTCCATCGCTTGTTTTATGTCATCTTTTTCTCGAACCACATGTTCAGCTAAAATCAGAGTGAGTGAGTAATAGATCAAAGTGAAAACTTAATACTTGTATCTGCAATAATTACCGATTTTTAGCCATAATTTTTTTCTCAATTCATAGTCGTGGTCAGAAGGCATAGTAGCTATCTGTTTTGCAAGATCAACGCTGATCGTTAAAGCCAAATCGACTGCAGTTGTCCAGAGTCCAAGTAAAGCAGATAATTCTACGCAAGCTTCTGTTAAACCAACTTCCTGACATAATCTTAATGCATAATGCACATCATAATGCACCATATTTATATCTTGTCCTAAAGAAAAATTTAAGTGTCTCCATATATTTGAGAATTACATTTGGAATTAAAAAATATAGTCTGAAAATTACCTTGAGATCTGATGTAACTCATTAGTTCGTCTTGATTATAACGAGCATATAATGATAATAGAAAATTATGAATTGCCTGTTCCATACAGCTTTGCTTATATACACAAAATTCTAGATATCTGATTACTTCTTTTGCCTGTGATATTAACAAATTTAATAACCATTATGAATTTTAAATACTTGATGAAGAGAACAGAACTTGTAATATCTTACATGCTTTTCATCGCTATTGCAAGATACTAAAACTGGAAGAAGTTTGGATGGTTTTAACATAGAACCCTGTGATATCAATGCGGTCACTGCAGGACGTGGCAATTCTTGCAAAAGAATACCAGAAAATTGATAAAAGAGTTCTTTATTATTTTGGCTTTTTAAGACTTCAAGGGCTTCTAGATAATTGTTTTTATACAAATGTTGCCTTATTACTTCTTCATAATTGCAATGCATTATAGTTAAACGAATGAGATTATCTTTATCTCCATGACTTGCCATTAAATCGTATATAGTACTGCGGTTCCGTTTTATGCATTCCTGAAGTAAAAATTAACTATGTACAAAAACTTTTTGTTAGATTTCTGCTACAAATTTTAATACCTCAACTTTTGGTATCGCGAGAAAACTATCAAATTGCTTTTGCAGTTCTAAATATTGAGGATCATGTAAATATGATTTATTAGTGCTTCGTAATACACCCAGTTGATTCATAAATAATTCAGTCACCCATACAACAATCATAGTTATTTGTGTTTTGTCTTGTATTTTTAGTCCTTCAAGTTTCTAAACATAAAATTTATTATTTCAAATATTTACATTCGATTAATATAAAATAACAAATGCAATACCTTTTTAAGGAATGTTTTTAAAGCTTCTATTTGCCATTCTTGAAGAAATTTTAAAGAAATTTCTTCAAACGATGAATGAGTATCTGCATAGATAAGAGCACTTTTTTCGTACCTACAAAATAGTAATTAATTAAACTTACCATCATGGCACGAGTATCAGAATTAAAAATTAAACTTACTCTTTATTTTTAAAGAGCATTTCTGCATGTTTTACAAGTACTTGATCTATATGTGCTGGATTATTTTTACAATACTGTTTTGCAAGCTCAAATTCACCTTTATCAACGTAAACCTATAAAAAGTAGTTTATAATTTATTAAATTAAAAAAAGAAGCATGTTATTAACTGAATCAATTTACCTGCCAAACATTTCTATCTTCTTTATTAACTTTGTATTTAAATACTGCTCTTTCACTGTAAATCCATATAGAACGAGTCACATAATCTTTAGTGATATTAAGTAATTTTCCAACAGCCTGCAAGTATTGAAGCTATCTTTTCAATTGCATTACTTAAATAATAAACAATATCTGCACTTTACAGATTTCATTTCTTGTACATACATCATTATAAATATCCTCGAATATCAATTCCTGGTTTAAAAGAGATATTCCTTTTACACGATCTGTATATAGTAATAGTGCATGGAATTCTGTTAAAACAAATGATAATGGTACAGTAGATGTTTGTGATTTATTAATTCCCATAAGACTTGTTTCGGGGCAAGTCAACATTTGTTGATTAATTAAGACATTTTTAGGATCTACTTTTGCATCAACCTAAAACAGTTCAAATAATTTTAATGATATACAAGTAAATTGTATGTAAGAACAGCAATGAAATATCACCTGAGCATATAATATACCAGTTTCAGTTAACCAACCAAATGATTTTGGTAAAGCACCAACTGAAGGATAATAAAATTGCATCTTAGAATAAGATAAGGAACTCATTACTTCATTAAAACTTTCTGTAAAAATAATGTTTTTATAGCTGCATGAAAATATAGAATAATTAAATATAATTGAGGTGAACAATAAATTTACCTTCTACATTTAAATATTTATTAAATACTTGTTGCAACAAAGGTTTTTCTTCTGGATTTTGTACTGATCCAATATACTGATAAATTCGCATAAGAGTAGTAACAATAATCATGTATTTATCAGTATTTGGTATTTTATGAAACTCCAAACCAGTAATAGGTGGACTGCTATCTTTTCCTATATCAAATACCTGCAATATTTAACAAATAATATACAGCATAATAGTATTGAACGCTATTTATATGATAAAATCTGTGTATGATATGAAAATAATTTAGAATACAAAATAAAAAATTTTGTAATAAATATTCACTCTTTTATGTCATTCTCTTTTTCTTTAATTTCAGACACATGTACATATTGGAAGCAAATATTTAAATTATAAAGTATCAATTCTAACTCACCAATCCTTCTACCTCTTTAGTACCATAAAGAGGTAAATAGTTAGGAAGCTTTGGACACAATTAATAATGATATGAGGGAAATGCTTCTACTATTATGAAATGGTAATGTATACTGATAATGATATAATTAAAGATTAGTTTCTGAATTTCAATTATACCTGTCTCCAATATTGTTCCAAACTGGTATTGAATATTTTGTCGCCATCTAAACCAATTTCTGTTTCAAAAATGAGACCTTTAGAAGTTCCTAAAAGAATTGGACCTGTAGTAGTCTCCAAAGAATTTTGAAAGTTCCATCCAATAGCAGTAATTTCATGTCCTTTGAATTTGCTTGCCTAAATGAATAAATCTTCAAGATTATAGCTCTTTCAAAATATTCATCTTATTTACCTGTTTTAGTTTTGTTGTTTTCCTGTGCAAATAAAATAATTCAGGCAAGGAGTTATCCTGTGATTTTGGAGCTAAAGCTATCAATAAATGATTACCCAAAGGATCAAGAAACATTCCTACCATTCTCATATTCATTACATACTTAGATATATCAATTTCTGAAATAATTATTCCAAATTAGTTTATATTTTATTTTATTTTATATCATTAAAAAAATACCTTCTCGTGTGTCTGGATTTTTCAAATCAATTCGCAGGAGAATATTATTAGCCATAGCTATAACGACAATATTATTATTAACAACCAGATGTAAAATCTTATCAGGCGGTAGAAAATTAACTTTTTGTTTTATAAAAATTGGCCCATCATCTTGTAACTTCATCTGGATAAATCCTGTTGTACTCTGAATGTGATTGATTAATATTAATTGATGTATTTTTATGTTATGGCCAAAAGTAAAAATTCACCTTGTTTTTATATCAAGATACTTACAATATCAGGACGTATTGGGGGTACATAAACCTGCTTAGATCTCTGAGACGCTTGCTCATACTGATCAAACATTGATGTCATTTTGCTGATTAATTTAATCCAATCACTAGATTATGTGTTAAAATTCAAATGCAATTTAAGCACACTGATATATTATGCTTGCACATGATATTGACTGTCAAAATGACATTATTATAATTACATTTATTGTTATTGTGCACTACTGTGCTTTCATAATTCCACACAACAGAATTGTCCTGTAAAAGTGCAGACAGTAATTAACTTGAGTAATTGAATAATTTATTATAAATGTAATTACTTATTACATTTGAATAAACTGCCTTGAATAACCTACAACTATTATCAATAAATTTGTAATGTTTTGTAGATGTTCTGATACTGATAACTTCAATTGCAATTAATATTGGTAACAGTGATGCATACTTGGTGGTGTCATTTTCCCCAGAAGTGACTAGATATAAAACAGACTAGATATGTAATAAAGTGATGGGCAATCAAGTGCCCTGGTGCCCACAAAAGGGCTCAGAAATGAATTGCACTGTACAACATGTGCAATAATGAGATAATTTAGTATGAGCAAAGATTAGATATAACAAGAGACGATACTAGATAAGAAAATGTACATCTTAAAGAGAGACAGAGAACATAACCAATTTAAATGACCAAATCAAAAGTATCGGAAGTACGCATGTGCAAAGTGTACAAGTATGGCAGTCGAAATACTCTCCAGTAATTTATATGCAATAAATATTTTCTCATATCTCTGTAATACATTCATCTATAATTTGATGCCGTAAAATTGATAAAAATACCTAAAATGATAATATTAGTAAAGTATAGAAAATGTATTACCAATATGTTCCAAAATATTAGAGATGAAAGTTTCGCTTGATTTCCCGCTCGTACAACCAATTTAAAGGGACAGTGCTTTCGAGAGATCAGAGGTGCCGCCTCTGGTGTACTCTGTGGTTTCCGTCTTATCTCCTGTCACCTACTTTTTCAAAATTTTGCATTTTATTATAAGATTTGTAAATTTTCCAAAGTATAAGTATAGAACTTGTAATATATACTTATTGATCCAAACATTTTCATAAAACAAAATTACAATTTAATTCGTAGCTATTAGCTCGATATCGTTTTCTAAAGTTCATTTTTACAAAAATGTTTAGAAAACGATATCGATTACCAAGTCACACCACGTGGAGGTTGCTACGATAGTGACTCGCCCTAACTCCAAATCCCTACCACCCTCCGATTGCAATACCTCATTTATCAGAAGAATAAATGAGTTCTGACTCTACTTAGCTCGTAGGCTTGCATATACAAGTTCTTTACCACAATCCAGCAAAGAACTTGTATCATACACACACACACACACACACACATACATTAACTTAATACTAATCGCACGGGATTCCACACACATACGCTTAACTTATTCTAAACGCCGCAGAGTACCTCTCATTCCAAGATTGCACTCAAATAATCTATGACGAATTCAAAAAGCAAAGGGAAGAAAGTTAGAAGAACTATCTACTAAAAGCAAAGAAAGTTAGAAGAACTTTCTGACAAAAAGAAAAGAAAGTTAGAAGAACTTTCTATGAAAAAGGGGAACAGTATTTTTCGCCAAGTGAACCTTGCTTTCCATGGGTCAAAGGGTAGTCCATAGTGGCTTACGTGAACCACGAGACAGAGATGAACCGAAAATACTGGCAAGAACGAGTGACACATCCGCGGAGGGTCTCCCATTTCTCCCCGCTTGCGTTTGAAGCAAGTCTGACCGCAGAGAGGAGACCCCTGCCGTGAGGCGGCAGATCGAGATGGTTCATCAATCGATCGGCCCCGCAGAGATGCACCAGCATTTGCAGCTCATCTCTGTCGCGTGTTCACAGCGCTATGAACCCCCAATGATCCACTTGGGTTCGGAACGATTGACAAAAAATAACTGAGTATACTACAAGCTAACGCGTACAAAGATTGAGAATTGCGAAGATGAGTGCAAGTTAGAATCGAGCACACGTAAATTAAAACTAACGCACGCTTAAAGTAACTTAAAACTAACGCACGCATAAAAGTAACTTAAAATTAACGCACGCATAAAAATAACTTAAAATTAGCGCACGCATCCCTCGTTGCTCCCTCGATGATCCCTCGATGATCGATGTCTTCGTCGATGTCTTCAATGATGACCTATTCATTACCTGTACAATAAGTAGGTATGGCAATAAAAAAAGGAAACAGTAAAGGAAATGCAAGATTATCTAGTTAAAATAAAAACCTGAAACATCTGAATGAAATTAAGACAAACAAGAATTATTAACATCAAAACTTGAAACATCTCAATGTAATTAAAACAAACAAGAATCGTTAAAATGGAACCCTGAAACATACAAATACAGTTAAGACACATATGAATAAATAAATTACATACATAAAATAAAAACTTGAAACATACAAAAATGATTAAGCCCTAAATGTGCCTTTTGTTCTAAAATTGCACTTCTATGATTTAAAACTTTGTAGAGAAAAGGGGTAAATAAGAAAGTTGGAAGAACTTTCTTTTAAGTTTCGAGCAGTTGACAATAAAAATGGCTATTACAACAATCTAATATGTAACTAATGGCAATTACTATAATCTAATATGTAACAAGTTAAAGAATATTTGTAAAGAGAAGTGCAAGTTAGAACAAAAGGCACAATTTGCGCAAGCTTTTCGCCACGTGTGGCGAAAAACCTGCGCCCGAGCCCACCCTTCCTCCCACAGCTCGGAATTATTGTAATTTAGATATGGAATTGAGAAGTTATGATCGTAGCTCTTAGCTCGATATCGTTTTCTAAAGTTAATTTCGTGAAAAATATTTAGAAAACGACATCGATTACCGGGTCACACCACGAGGAGGTGGCTACGTTAGAGAGTGACCCACCCTAACTCCAAATCCCTACCACCCTCCATTTGCAAATCGCTCATTTATCGGAAGGGTAAATGAGTTCTGACTCTACTTAGCTCATAGGCTCGCATATACAGATTGCAATACCTCATTTATCAGAAGAATAAATGAGTTCTGACTCTACTTAGCTCGTAGGCTTGCATATACAAGTTCTTTACCACAATCCAGCAAAGAACTTGTATCATACACACACACACACACACACACATACATTAACTTAATACTAATCGCATGGGTACCCACACATACACTTAACTTATTTTAAACGGCGCACGGTACCTCTTATTCTAAGATTGCACTCAAATAATTCTATGACGAATTCAAAAAGCAAAGGGAAGAAAGTTAGAAGAACTCTCAATGTAATTAAAACAAACAAGAATCGTTAAAATGGAACCCTGAAACATACAAATACAGTTAAGACACATATGAATAAATAAATTACATACATAAAATAAAAACTTGAAACATACAAAAATGATTAAGCCCTAAATGTGCCTTTTGTTCTAAAATTGCACTTCTATGATTTAAAACTTTGTAGAGAAAAGGGGTAAATAAGAAAGTTGGAAGAACTTTCTTTTAAGTTTCGAGCAGTTGACAATAAAAATGGCTATTACAACAATCTAATATGTAACTAATGGCAATTACTATAATCTAATATGTAACAAGTTAAAGAATATTTGTAAAGAGAAGTGCAAGTTAGAACAAAAGGCACAATGTGCGCAGGCTTTTCGCCACATATTGTGACGAAAAACCTGCGCCCGAGCCCACCCTTCCTCC